ACAGGGGCTCCATCTGTCCTTCCTGGCTCTTCCTTGGGGAGTTTGAGGTGCTGGGGCAGGAGTGAAGCCTAGAGGTGGGATCGGTCAGGAGGGAAGCCTGCCCCCCCAGGGAGGAAACCGGGGAAACCTGGACAGCCCCTTAATCAGGACCAATCAGTCTAGGAGAAGCCCCGCCCTGCCCCAGCCCTTGAGATGAGAGAGCAGATTTCTGTGGCACCTAATGACTATGAGAGATGTGGCAAGTCCGAGGTGGGTGGAGGGGGCACCACAAACCACAAGAGTACATGGCTGAGCCCACAGCTGGCACACTCTCAGGGGGACATCCTAGCACTCTCTGTGAAGTTGTCTGGCCCCTGCCCTTAATGCCATTCAAAGTTGAAGAACTTTCAAAAAAGTCACCCTGTTCCTAACAACTAGGTCCTAAGCTGTATATGCGAGGCTGGCCACCAAGCTGGCTTCAGTTTCCTTATCTGTCAAACAGAGGAATGGATTAGACGCTTGCTAAAAATCTCTTCAGTGTGTCATCCTGGGATTCCAGAAAATAAATAACTTTGTCAAGCTTGGCATTAAAGAAGAACCAAATCATGTGCTGCAGCTTTTCTTCCTTATAAGTTCCCATGATTAGAGAGTGACCAAGTCACAGTCACAGAGCCCTAGGAGCACGCCCAGCCCTCACTCTGAAGCTTCTCTCTCAGTCTCAGAAAAGCCACCCCGGCCAGGGGGCCAGCCAGGAATGTGCAACTGCGTGCCTCAGAGGGTTTCCAAAAGCAGAGGTTCAGAATCACAGTTGTCTGAGATTCAAATTGTTTCCCAATTGTGAAGTGCAGCTTAGTTGCACAGACGGATAAGGAACTTTTCCTCATTTTTAATCCAAACTTCCAGAAAAAAACAATCTTCACACACAGCCTTTGTGAGGTCTTTCTTGCATTAAACTATATCATTTATGCTACAGAGAGCATGTCTCAGAGACCAATTCCACCATGAGCAGATAAGAGCAGTGTTGGGGGTTGGGCTTTAAGTGAGAGGGGAGCCCTCCGTAAGTCCTGGGCCCTCAGCCTCTTGTTGGATACCAAGGAGAAGGCCGATAAGAGCATTTTTGTCTCCCACCTGCCAAAGAGTGCCCAGGGGATGGTGAGAGAGCCAAGGAGCCCACAGCCTGGCCAGGAGAGGCTTTGGGACCGGCAGGCAGAGGAGGGATAGAAGTCCATCTGTCTGGCAGTCACTATTTTTCTTATCATTTTGCCTGTTCAGACCAGTGGCATGCTAGTTTCCATTTTTTAAAAAAAATTGCAAGAAAGGATAATGGCCCATGCAGAAATAGCGTAAGTTATTTACTGTGGTTTCCCTGTTTGTAAAATGAGAGCAAGCCCCCAATAGAGCCCTATATGTTGTAAAAATTCATTAGAAAAGAAAAAAAAATGTCATGTGGGTGCTCTGTGATTCAACTAGTTTCATCCATCAAATATTTACTGAACGCCAACCAAGTGCCCAGCACAGGGACCCACCACTGAATCAATTGCCATCTCAGCCATCAAGGATTTCTAACCCAGGTGCCAAGCTAGACAGAACATGGCAATTGCTCCAACAGAAGCACAAGTGATTCCTTTTCTGAGGAGGAATAGGGGACAGAAGGGATCAGGAAAAGCTGCCCAGAGGCAGAGGTAGGAAGAGCACACACCCACCATACCCAGACCTGCCCCAGTCTGCCTGGCAGGCTCCCACCCCAGGCTCTCACACCAGTCATGAAGATGTGAATCTCGCCACCCAAAGTCCAGCCTCCCCACTTACCCATCCCAGCATGAGGAGGGAAAGGAAGCGTTCACCCTCAGAATGCACATTCTCCTAGAGGCTTGGGCATCAACACATAAGGTGCCTGAACACCCCAGGACAGCTTCTCCTAAGCCAGGCTTCCTTGCCCTCTGAGGAGCAGCTGCAGGAACAGCCAGCTGCCTCAGGAGCCTCCAGGGGCCCCCAGGTATCCACCTCAGAGAGCAGCCTGCTCTCCTAGATGCTGGTCTTGGAGGACCAGGAGCAGGTAGATCCTCTGAGAATGAGCAGATCTGCAAATCTTCCAGAGCTCATTCTCTCTCTCTCTCTCTCTCTCTCTCTCTGTAATGGCAACTGGTGCAATAGCTACCATTTTAGATAATCACACACATACACACACACACACACACACACACACACACACACACACACCCTGGCTGATTTTACAGTCAATCTTTCAAAGTGCAATTTGTCTAGGAAAAGCCAATGTGAGGGCCCTGTGGATTTCGACCAATAGCGTTGCGGCTGGCGCTGCTCAGCCAGTCTCTAGTCTGTATTCTAATGGGCCATATCTTTATCAGGGAAATGTTGCTTCTCTGAACTTAAAACTTCTCATGGAGGGTCCCCAGACTCAGAGGCAGAGCAGGGGTCTGAGCTGAGGCGTGGGAGCCGCCTTTCTCCAGGCCGGGCAAGGAGAGAGGGAAGGGGACTGGGTGAGGCCTCTCACCTGTCCGGGAGCACCTGACTTCCGAGCAGCTGACGTAGGTACCAGTCCCTGGGCAGAGGCTGGGCCGATACCTTAGGTTGGAGGGCTGTCTGGGGCTTGGGGCCACTTTTGACCCTCCAAACCTGCCATGGGATTCTGGACCAGAGCACGGGGTCTCGGGGTTTAGGGGCCTGGATTGGGCTTCCTGCTTTCCCTCACCCTGACCGGGGGAACATGGAGTCCAACCTGCAA